AAAAATTAAAAGAGAAATCTGGATTAGAGCTTTAACTAGTGTAAATCAGCATAGTTCATTGACACAGCCTAATTTACAGCTGCTGAAGACATCACCCTTTTTGTTGTTATGAAAGTCTATTCATCTACCACAGGTTTTTGGTATTTTCCTCCTCTCTTTTTTACTATGTAGACATTTGTGAGAGCCTAAACTTGTTGTTGGAGGAATTTGTCTATTCTTCCTGCTTCTTTCTCATTTGGAGCATGATATAGCAATATGCCTCCTAGAATGCTGAGGTTTTAGAGGCCTAAGGCATTCAACACCTAGCAAGATTGTGCCCTTCAAGATACAGACCTGAATTTTCAAATGAATGTTCTAAATATGCCAAATTTCCCTCTGCAAGTCTTCTGTTTCAGGCAAACAATGACATATGCAACACTCAACTATGAATTCACCCATATGTAAATGAGAGTTTTGTTGGTTCAGTTCAGAAGACTCCTAATTTGGCCCACAGTATTCACCTAAGATCAACACTTCATATACAAGATGAAGTGTGCTCTACCTCTTTTTAAAAATATCACTCCCCCATGATTTCCTATTTGAATGCTTTGTAGTCAGAATTTCTCATTTCCATCTTGCTGTTGAGTTGGAATAGACTATTTTAATAACTGTGAAATGACAGAATAATTTATCATAGTGAGCATGCCGTGAAAAGCTAATGCAAGTGATTCAAAATTCGTTTACAGGTTAAAGAACAGGCAGCCATATCAGTGAAAGAGAAGGAGGGCTCTCTGAAGTTTATTTTCAGTTTGACAGCCAATTAAAAAGGAATGACATTTTGAAATTTTGTGGCATTTAGACTGATATGATGGATTTTGATGTCATTTCTGAAAGTGAACCTGTCATGTTTGCTTTATTACAAAAGGTCCACAAATAGAATATAGAACTGATAGAACAAATAGCTCATGGATGTTAAAACAGGTTACTCCCATTATGAGAACAACACATACAATAGACCTTAAATTCATCATAACATACATTATTGGGTGACAAGATGAGTATGGATCCTTTAATAGAGACAGATGCACTGTATTTCTTCACTTCCGTTCACCATTTTTTTAGGAGCTTCTGTGCTGTAGCAGTAGCGGCTGGCTTTATTTCAAAACCATGATGTTTCAGTCAAGACATGATGTGTCAAAATAACATTTGGGCAGCACCTAATGTATACAGTAGTGGAATAGTTGAGAAAGATATAACAGGTAAGGATGTTAAATTTAGATTCATCGACTAATTGGCAGCTCTGGGGAAGGCGCATGCCCTTTAAATAGAAACAAGTGAAAAGGCTCATGCCTCACCAGCGGATCCCAGGCAATGATGTGGGGCCAGGAGCTGTGACCTCTTTCAGTTGTTTCTATTTAAAGAGCTCGCACCTGGGAGCCCTTTCAACTGCTTCTATTTAATGGGTTTGTGCCTTCGCCATGACTGCTAACATGTTGCCTGGCAGCCGTGGGGAAGGTGGGAGCTCTTTAAATAGAAGCAGTTGAAAGGGCTTCTTCCTCCCCAGCTCCCAGGCAACATGTTAGGGAGCAAGGCTGGGCACTGCCATGCAGGCTGGATGAAAGAGCTTAGCAGGCCAGATCTGGCCTGCTGACAGGCTCTTGCCCAGCCCTGCTATAGACAAATGTCTGTTTTTATTACAATCCACTTTGTGGATAGGAGTTCCTGAAATATACAAGACAGCTCAATTGCATTGTGGTTGTTCCTCTAGTTGTGAGTTTTCCTCAGTTTTGTTGTCCTCACTTTTGAACAAAATATTAATAAAAGTATATTTTAATTTTTAAATAAATAAAATCTTAATTTAATATTAAAAATTCACACGCAGTTTTCCTTCTGCAAGAGGAAAAACAAATTGAGGGAAAAAAAAACACATGATGGGTATGGGAGGTGCTCAGATACTATAGTAATGAGAGTATGATAGAACAAGAACAGGATACGATAGAAGATATCAAGTTTTTCTTTTCTTTTCTTTCCCCTCTCCCCTCCCCCCCAGTGGGATTACATCCTGGATAAAAGCCAAAAAAGGATATTTTTTTTTAAGGCACGCATTAGTTCCTATTTTTCTTTTCACTAAAATTGATCCTATTTAGCTATGGAATTTAGCACCATTTTTTCTCAATTAGCTACAAATTATTCATTACTTGGATTTAAGTTGCTCCCCTTTTCTTTCCTCTGGAAGTTGTATTGCTTTCTTGAAGGCTTCACACCAATCATTATCTTTGTTTTACTATTTCACAAAGCAGAACAACATTGAAGTTGGTAGGCAAGCAACACATGTGAACTGCCTGCTCTGAATAAAAGATATGAGTATAAAAAACCAGACCTGGGAGAGCAACACAAAATAAACCCCTTCCCTCCTGAATCCATCAGGGATGCATTGTCACTTCAGTACAGCTAATGGGAGCTAGGTAATTGAGGATATACTGGAACTTCAGAGCAAAAAGCAATCATAGGATCTGGAAAAATCTTTGGAAACTAGCAGCTGAGTGATAGGGCAAGAATTATTCCTTGTAGATTTTAGCTTCTGACTCCAGCTGAACTCTGGAAGTCACTCTTTCAAAAAAAGTTGCTCCGTATTCTGTGATATTTAAAATTGAGGTCTGGGAGAAATTAAATAACACTTAAGTATATTCCAGAATCCACCACTTCCCCCTCATCCCCATCAGGTTATAAGTTGTAGTGGTTTACCATATATTACTCCTGGGGGAATTCTGAGAGACGTGCAGAAAATACCTCCCTTCAGAATTCCTGTGCTTTCCTACTGAAAATGGCAGGGAAACAATGGGAAGCTGGGCAGGGGGGTGATCATGGTTCCATTTTTGGGGGGGGGGTTGCCCTTCCTCCCTTCCCATTTCTGCATCCCCAGAGCTGTCCAGGTAAAGGAGGCTGCATCTCAGCTCTGCTGATTCTGCAGCTGAACACCACCTCCTGGGTCCCTGTGCCAGTCATCTTTTACATTTGTGTGTTGGGACCCTTCCTTTTTTCTGTGCAACAGTGAGCACTTGCACTAGGGCTGGGTCAGAGGGGGCTGAGGGAAGGAGGGATGAGGGACTGTGGGGAAGGAAGGTGGGGTGGAATGGGGCAGGGGGAAGGGAATATGAGTGAGAGAGGAGGGGGATGGGACATAGGGCAGTTGGGAAAGAAAAGAGAAGAGGGGACTCACGGGAGGGGGAGGGGGATAGCAGAGCCCAGCATACAGTGTTATCTCAGCAGCAGTTGGGGCTGCCCCATTAAGCAGGCTCATTGAACTGTCACCCTCACATGCCCTACACCTGGACCCCCCCAATAAGTTACCCACACTCAAACCCCCACAGTGAGCCCCAACATTCTGCACCTGGACCCCCTCCTCCATCAAGCCCCACTCCACTAGCAGCCAAACTCTTTCATTGAGCCCATCACACCCAGACCCTCTGCTGAGCTCCCTCCACATCCAGACCCTGACAGCTGAGTCCTAACCACCTTCATCTAGGTCTCCTGCAGAGTCACATTGACTCTGCACCCAGGGCCCCCTGTACATCCAGATCTTTGACTGAGCCATCCACACCCAGATTATCTCTCAGACCTCACACCCGGATCTCTCTTTCTCTCCCCCACTAAGTCCCTCCACATTGGAGTCCTGCTGGGATGAGCCTGCCCAGCCATACCGGTTGTGCTTGGTGCAGACAGGCAGGGCCCCAGGTGTTTCTAGAGTAAGCCTGGACCTCCCACTGTGACATGGTTGGGTCACCGCTTAGTCCCTATACCAGGGCAAGTGGGGGCTTCAGGGTGATCTACCTCAATGCAGCCAGTGGCTTGTGCTCCTCGCTGCCATTCTGGAACCACATTTACTTACTGACAAATACAATTTGCAGAATTTTACAGAATTTTTAATTTTCTGGTGGAGAACTTTAACTTTTTTGGGCATAGAATTCCATCAGGAGTAAATATATCAAGCAAGTCAATTGGCATCTCATTGAATTTTCTATTACTTTAAAGCCAAAGAAAATATCTCAATTATTACACATCTGTGAAGAACCGCATTGAGTGCTCATCATGTATGGTAATACAGCATTAGGGTCTATTAAGGTTAAAATCCTGCATATTTGGGTTTCTTGTAAAGTATGATTTTCTTTCTTCTGTTATTCAGCACTGATGTTTCCACTCCCCCTCCCCCTCTTGCATTTGCTGCCTCCTTCTAAGGAAAAAGCCAGACGGTAGCAGCATTATCTAGAACATACTCTCTTTTCTGAATATTTCATTGACACATCTTTCTCTAGCACTGCTTTGTTCAATGACCGAGCAAGTGTTTTGGGACAGGATGCTCTTCTACAATGGAGAGAAAATTCCGAAGACAGTGCTGTCTCAGCAAGTTTAGCAAAAGATTATTAGATCTTTCTTGTCATTGAGCCCCAGAAAGAAAAGTCTTTTCTCTGTTGATTTCTCCCATCCACCCAAGTTCTTTTCTTTCCTCCTGCTTGTTAAAAATTTTCTGGAATACATTTCCTGGCATGGGCATTTACTGTTTCATCCATGCATCAAAAGCAATTGAAACACTGTGGTTGATTAGTTGAGCATCCTTCGACCATTACAGGGAGAGGCAGCACAATTTCAAAGGCATGCCGCAAGAGAGGGAGGGAGGGAGGAAAGGGAGGCGATTCATACATACATTCTCTTCTTTGATGATGGGTTTGAACACACAATGTGTTTCCTCTCCACCATTCTCAGAATGTAACCTCAGAATGTCCTTCACTGATGTAAAAATGAACTGGGGGAAGGGAGGGAGAGCTCTGTTCTACTGAGCCAGTTTCAATTAGATGTTAATAAAAGGGACAGCTTTTGCTGGAAGTTTGCAAGATTAGAAGGTGTTCAGCACCCACTCAGTATCGGTAACTTGTGGGCTAGATTTCTGAATGTTTGTTCCATAGAGAGCGGTAAGATGGATGGTCTGGGCATATGCTTAATACTTACTTTCCTTTTGCTTAAAGGATGGACTGACTCCACTCCACTGTGCTGCACGAAGTGGGCATGATCAGGTTGTAGAGCTCCTCCTGGAACGGGGTGCCCCATTGCTTGCAAGGACCAAGGTATGTATTTCATTCACAGAACAAATTAATGTCAGTGACAATCCTTCAAAGCAATTATTAGCTATGCTAGAGGGGTGAGGAGGGATGTAGGGACATGTCAGTATACCACCGGGAACACGTTAGACTGAATAAATATTTGGGATAGAGGGATCCAAGAGTAAGTTTTTCTCTTGAAACCATATAAGGAGTGTTGGCATACATGAACAAGACCATTTGATTTTCTCGGCGGAGACAAGCTGCGAGTATGATATAGACCAGGGTTTTTCAAAGTTGGGTTGCGGATCTGCCTGGGTAAGCCTTTGGAGAGCTGTGAGACATTTTGTTTATCTAAGCGTCCATAGGCACAGAGCCTCACAGATCCCGTTGGTTGTGGTCCTCCATTTCCAATCAAGGGGAGCTGTGGGAAGTGGCGTGGACTGGGCCACTGTTTCCCGCAGCTCCCCTTGGCTAGAAATGGCACACAGCAGCCAATGCGAGCTGTGAGGCACCGTGCCTATGGATGCTTAGATAAACAAAGTGTCTTGCAGACCACCAGTGGCTTATCCAGCAGGACCCACGACCTAACTATGAAACCTCGTTCCACGAGGCGTACAGATAGTTCGGAATAGCTTGCTAGTCCGAACTATCTAGCCCGTGCCGCGTGTAGCCGCGCGGCACGGGGTTCGAACAAGCCGGCATTTAAAAATGGCGCCGGCCGGCTTATGCAAATAAAGCCCGGGAAATTCAAATCCCGGGCTTCATTTGCACGTTCGGTATGCATACATTACCCCGCTAGTTCGCACTAGCGGGGTAGTGTAGACATACCCACAGCTGTATCGTGTAACTTCTTGTTAACAGTTATAACACGGGGGTCATGACATCTCACCACCTTGGGCTATGAGTGTATCAGGTCTCATAAATTAAAAAGGGTCATCTCTGGTCAGTATTTCTTGTTGGAGACCTTGAGGAAAAATAACATGTCCTACAGTAAGTGTGTTTGTGATTATTTAGGTGCTTTTCCCCAGTGAATGAATACAGACCCTGTTGCTTAGCGAAAAGTTGTCATAGTCTGACATTAAAGATACTGTGGGACTTCTCTCAAGACAATGCACTAGACCTAAATTCTATATTTGGATAACTATTATGCCTGCCTTCATTTTCTATACATTTGCCATGGATTTATGGCATTCTTTTTCACCTCCTCTTACAATTTGTCTGTAATGTTGCTGTGAACTCTTAGTAGTACATCCCACAGATGGCTGCATTTCAGTTCTGGATGAAGTTATTTCTATACTTTTCTAATAGCATGTTGGGATTAATAAATGGCACTATATAATCATGAGTTATTTTACTTGAGGTTTGATACATTTGTTTTTTCTGCTGGCACAGAACGGACTCTCTCCGCTCCACATGGCTGCTCAGGGGGACCACGTGGAATGTGTCAAACATCTCCTGCAGCACAAAGCTCCTGTTGATGATGTCACACTGGATTACCTGACTGCCCTACACGTTGCTGCACACTGTGGCCATTATCGTGTCACCAAGCTTCTACTGGACAAGAGAGCAAATCCGAATGCTCGAGCCCTGGTAAACTTGCCTCGCCCTTCTAATGCCACACAGCTGCAGATTAAAGATGTGTGTCACTAAGCAATAAAGCTGACTGGAGGCCCCCTCCTGGAAACCCCACTGAGCATGGTGCTTACTTTGAGTAGTCCCATGTCAGTGGGCTGTAGCACTTGTTGTAGTAAATGGCAGTTCCTGTTGGATGTAGAACTACCACTTCAGTGGGACTACTCGTGCTAGTAAGCGCTGTGTTAACTAGCATGTGTTTGCACGATCAGATCCTGGAGGCTATGCAGTAATTCTTGGCACCACAGCCATTACTAGCTGGCGTTATCTCACACACTAGTGTTTTGATATGTTTGCCATTTTGGCCTTTTACACTTTGCAGTACAGTGATGTGGTTCATATTTGTTACCACTGGGAAAGGCTAGTTGGTGTGGAAATACTACTGCTTCCCCTGCCAGGCTTTTTAAAACACATTATCCACCACTTCAGCCATCTGGCAGAAAATTAGTTTTTTACTCCTATCAAACATCCATTTACAAAATGCCATTAATCATAGTACATCCTATTTTTTACTTTTCTGAAGCATACATAAAATATTATAATTAATTCCTTTTGCTGAGTCATCTGGCCATTATTTCCTAAACAGGAAGAAAAAAAGTCATATTTGACTTTATGAATTTCTAAGGCCTTTAAGAGTTTACAAAGAGCCTATAAATAACATTTTATGTTTTAATAATCCCTCCACTAACAGGCACCTCACCTCAGTAGGGTCAAAAAGATGAAGTGAAGTGAATACAATGAAATTAACAATGGCAATTTCTGACACATTACCAACTCCCAGAAAATGTGTCGTTATGTGACACAGTACCTGAAACATCAAGGGTATTGATTTCTTTTTGGGGAAGTTAGGAGGATTAGTTGTTGGTCTTGTAATGGAAAGCTACTATTAACTTCGACTATGGAGTGACTATTGTTCCTCCATAAATAACTTGGGATATGGAGTGAATATTGTTCCATCCATAAATAACATTGGTCATTTATAAAGTTTCCCCATTCTTTAACAGTAAAAGGAGAAAAGTAGCTGACCAGAGTCTGGTTAAATGACAAACTCTAGAATTCTAGACTTAGAGATGCTTATTTGCAAGGATGATGATGGTGTGGAAGACACAGCTGACCATTGGGATTTTGGGTACAAGATGCATGTGTACATTTAAAATGGAGACAGTCCTGGGACCAATCCTTTTCAACTTATTCATAAATGATCTGGAGAAAGGGGTAAGCAGTGAGGTAGTAAAGTTTGCAGATGATACCAAACTGTTTAGGATAGTCAAGACAGAAGCAGACTGTGAGGGACTCCAAGAAGATCTCACCAAACTGAGTGATTGGGCAACAAAATGGCAAATGAAATTTAATGTGGATAAGTGTAAAGTAATGCACATCGGGAAAAATAACCCCAACTATACGTACAGTATGATGGGGGCTAATTTGGCTACGACAAATCAGGAAAGAGATCTTGGAGTTATCGTGGACAGTTCTCTGAAAACTTCCACGCAGTGTGCAGTGGCGATCAAAAAGGCAAATAGGATGTTAGGTATTATTAAGAAAGGGATAGAAAATAAGACCCAGAATGTCTTACTGCCCCTGTATAAAACTATGGTACGCCCACATCTTGAATACTGTGTACAGATGTGGTCTCCTCACCTCAAAAAAGATATTTTGGCCTTGGAAAGGGTTCAGAAAAGGGCAACTAAAATGATTAGGGGTTTGGAACGGGTCCCATATGAGGAGAGGTTAAAGCGACTGGGACTTTTCAGTTTAGAAAAGAGGAGACTGAGGGGGGATATGATAGAGGTCTATAAAATCATGAGTGGTGTGGAGAGGGCTGATAAAGAAAAGTTATTTATTAGTTCCCATAATAGAAGAACTAGAGGACACCAAATGAAATTAATGGGGAGGTTTAAAACTAATAAAAGAAAGTTCTGTGTAGTCAACCTGTGGAACTCCTTGCCAGAGGAGGCTGTGAAGGCTAGGACTATAATAGAGTTTAAAGAGAAGCTGGATAAATTCATGGAGGTTAGGTCCATAAAAGGCTATTAGCCAGGGGATAAAATGGTGTCCTTGGCCTCTGTTTGTCAGAGGCTGGAGAGGGATGGCAGGAGACAAATCGCTTGATCATTGTCTTCGGTCAACCCTCTCTGGGGTACCTGGTGCTGGCCACTGTCGGTAGACAGGATACTGGGCTAGATGGACCTTTGGTCTGACCCAGTACGGCCGTTCTTATGTTCTTATGTAATATCATCACTCAGATTTGTCAAAAACAAGATTAAAGAGCAGTTCGAGGACATTTGAGCAATGCCTGCTAGAAGTACTGAAGCTTGTGATTATATTTCAGGCTAACATTTAAAGCTAGCTGGGCTCAGGGTTGTCCAGCAGATTTGCCAGGCTCCAGAACAAGATGAGAGGCTTTGGGCTGCTGGATGGGGCGGGTTCTTGGGCAGAAAGAGTGGCCATGCCATGCACTTCCCCCTGCCAGCCCCTCAGCACCACCCAGAGCACACTGCCCAGGGCTCCAGCGGAGATTTAAAGAGTCCAGATCACCAGCCAGTAGCAGAGTGTCTTTGGCTGGGAGCCCCAGGGCAGTTGCCCCTTTTACCGCCCCTTCTCCAGTTGACAGGTTAATTTATTGCTATTAATACTATTCTACATAATAGCTGTAGCCAGTAAAGTGATGGAAGAAGCATCCTGAATTATTCATTTTGAGGTAGATATTCTTGAAGCAATTAATTAGTTAATGTTTGTACAGCACTTGAAGAAATTAAAGCCCTACATATATTCTCAGTTGTTTTAGTTATTGTGTTTTAAAAGATATTAATGTCAACCTATAAGTAACATTTATTTTTTAACAGAGACTAGCCATGGAGTAAACTGTCTCTCTAGCAGCTGCTCTTCCACTCTCTCTCACTGATTAACTTGCTTTATTTCTAGTTGTGTACTAGCAATTCTGACCTTTTCCATTAGAAAAGCCAGTGATGATCTAATGAGTTCTTGCTTTGCATTAAAATTATTTGTATTTTTCAAAAAGTGTTTACGTAAAACACTGTGGCCCTGATCTTTCAAGGCTTTGTTGTCCTGCCTAGGTCCCTAGTCAATATCCATCATTATTCTGCAAAGAATGTAAGCATCTGCATAATGTTAGGCATATGCTCATGCCTCATCGATTTCAATAGGACTTAAACACAGGCTTGAAGTTAAGGGCACGCTTAAATCAAACAGGGATGCCCTCAAGCTCATGGAGAAATTCTCTGTTGATTTGGGGCCCTAGATTCTATTAACAGGAGTAATTCCATGGAAGTAAATAGATCTATTAATGGTAGTAAGGACTACACACAGTAGCAAATGTTAGTACACATACAGTAGATTTACTGCATAGATACAGACACATAGCTCAGAAAGTCTTTTTTAAAGGGGAACCCAAAAATGTGATGTGTTCTAGGAGAAAGTTGAGCAGTTAAATATCGTACTCCTGACTTTTTAAATTACAGCAGATGACTTTGAAAGCTTTTATCACCATCATGATGGGCTGGATTTTTTTTTCATGTGAGATGGGCTCCACAATAGATGTAAGTTATTGCCAAGTGGATGGTTTAATATTTGTTTTTTATCATGTTCCCTGGGAAAAGAAGAATGTCTGTGTTTTGTAAGTTATGCATTTTTCTCCTGATAGGGGCAGAAAATGTTGGAGGTCTTGTGTATTATGGAAATAGCAACCCGCTAAGATGATTTTTTTCTATATCTTGTAGCTTACTCTGATTAAGGGACAATGGCATCTGACATTCTAACACTGCTGCTTGGAGTGTGCCAACCTGGCGCTGTGTGGGAACTGTAGCTGCATGTGTTTAGCTAACATAATTGTCTTTTGCACAGAATGGTTTTACTCCACTGCACATTGCCTGCAAGAAAAACCGCATCAAAGTCATGGAACTTCTGGTGAAATATGGGGCTTCAATCCAGGCTATAACAGAGGTAGAAGAGTGTTTCAACTCCATAAAAACATTCTTTCCTTTCTCCCTTTTCTGCTTCCCCATTTCTCCGTACCTTCTGTCATTCTCATCATTTTTATTTAAATGAAGAAGCCCCTCAGCCCTTGTGCAGAGGAGTAAAACTGCTGTTGCTTTGTTTCACAGTCTGGCCTCACACCAATACATGTGGCTGCATTTATGGGCCACTTGAATATAGTCCTCCTCCTGCTGCAGAATGGAGCTTCTCCAGATGTCACTAACATTGTGAGTATGGCTTGGATTAGAATAATCACTGCATCAGCTCATACACCATGGGACTGAGCTGCCATGTAGCCTAGCCAAAGGTCACATTTTAATGATTATTTATTACTAACTGAACGTCTCTGAAAAATAACCTCATGTCTTTCTCAAACGCCCATAAAAGAAGGAAGTTGGCTTTGAAACAGGCACTTTAACCCTTTTATGGTACAATAGTTTTAGTGCATTTCTCAGCAGCACTGGTACTCTGAATAGTTTCCTCTGAAAATGTCCTTACCAGGTTTATCCAGGGCACATGGGAGGGAAGATTTTGTGTTTCAGTTTTGAGTACTGCACTTTAAATCCCAAAGGGTAAAGCTTTTGCTGGCTTTAATGGGTGCCACTCTATATGCTTCAGTGGAGTGATGCCATTTAAACTGGCAGTGAACTTTTAAAATTTTAAACCTAGCAGTTTAAACTAACATCTAGAAGTTTTAAACTAAAACCATTCCTTTACCAGATCATGGATGTATTTCCCATTTAGAAGTAATGGATTTACAATTCTAGAGAACATCACTTTTTTTTAAAGTCTTTAAAATATGACTTTTGAAAGTAATGCCAAATGCAGGCCCTAACTTGCCATGGAAATGAGCATTTGTATACCAAACATGCAGTTTATTCTAGAATAAATGAGGCAATGGACATTTCCTGGGGTTACATGACATGTGTTTCTTATTGTTTGAGTTTGTTAGTAGAAACCAACATTTATTTGTGTCTGTCTGCTTTTTAAATCAGAATTTTACTGGTAAATAATATTTTTAAAATGACCCAAAGAGGTTCTGAGCTAAATTAGCTAGTAATTCATGTACCCTGGACTCACTAATTTTTATCCACTAGAAAGATAAATAAATCTACTAAGAATGTATATTATACTTTATTTCTTTTTTTCTTATTATTTTAATAAGACAGATTCATGACAAAAATAGTCACTGCTTTTATACTTTTTTACATAGAAGCAATACTTATGTAATTACTTCTATATCTATGTCTGTAAAAAATCTTAACAAGAAATTTTGGGAAGTAAACCATCAAGAAAGGATTATAACAGGTAAATGTTATTTATAAATGTTTGGATACAAGGTTTAACACTTTACAATTGTTTGTGCTAGGAAAGTGTCTTGGCTTTTTACTTTGTAAAGCTCACTAATTGTTTTCAAAAGTTAAATTGCTTCACTAATGCTAATACAGAATGATCTTTATAGAAATCCTAACTTGATCATTTGAAAATGAAAGGTATATTCACAGACAGAATTAAAACATTTTTAACAGTACATTCTTCAGATAGCAAAATTTTTACGTGACCAAATCCTCCTATCAAATCCTTAGGTAAAACTTCCATTAGAACTGCAAGGATTTGCCCATTGTCTGCTTATTAAGCATGTCTGTTGACCTCATGTAGATTTCAAAATTTAGAAAAAGTGATAGTTTAATGTAAATAAACTAACTCCCAATAAGGGGCTTAATTAAGTTATAATCTCATTGCTGTGAGTAGACCTCGGGTTACTTTCTTCACTATCTCAGTAAACAACAATAAATATTGGTACTTTTGTGGCCTTGATACATAGACAAATCCTAAGTAAGAGAGAGAGCCTGTGCTATGCTATAGCAATTAAGACTTAATACTAAACAGCAAGAGTCTTTATCTGATAGGTATGTTCCATCTATTGTAAAAAGATGAGACTCTTTTCTTTATACAAATAGGAGGCAAATCAAATGATACTCTTTCATCTGCAAGAGTTCATTCATATGTCAGGATGAAAAATGCTAGACCATCGTTTATCCTCTTTCATAACAAAGACGACAAAAATAGGTCTATTGCTGCTTTATGCTAATGGCTGATGTAGAGACTCTCTTGGTTTATTTTACATTACTGTCTGCAAAGGAGCTGGTACAGTGCAAGATTAAGCCAACATCTCTAACATCAGTGACTATTTATTCGTTTCTATTGTTGCTTTGCAAACACAGGAAAAGAAAAGAAATACCCAGATAATTTCATGTTCACTTTCTTAACCAGCTCCTTATATTCTAAAACCCTTTGACTTCCTGAAATTCATGTATCCATTAGGGATGTTAAATATAATGTATTAGGGTAACCATATCTGAATATCTGAATATCTCACACAGTTACCCGTGCTGCAGGCTCTTCGGGATAAAGGCTTGCTGCCTCCCTGGGAGCTGCCAAGGGTAACTGAGATCATTAACTGATTTAAGTGGTTATTCGGTTATACTCTAACATCCCTACTATCTATCCCAAATTCTGTGGGATAGCAAAAGGATTGAGAGGGACTTGGATTCATTGTAATCAGTGAGCCAGTGATGGCAGTCTTTAGAAGACTACACAGGGACTGATAGATTGCCTTTTACAATGCCCTGTAAAGCCGTGTCCCTGCCACAGACTGAACGGGAAGAGACCATCTAGAAGAATGTTCCCTTCCATTTTGAAGCTCAAGTGCTCAACAATCTATTGAGAACCCTAAATTCAGTATGCTCATATCCCCTGTCTATTTTGAAGTAGAAGCTGAAGCACCAGGGAATATCTACGATCAGAAGGGAATATCATACAGAATGCTATTTAAAATAATCGTTTGGAGTACATTCCCAGGCAGTGATTTTGCTTTATTGAACCTATTGTAAGACTGACTATCAAGTCTTGAGTCCATTAAAATCACTGGCAAAACTCCCATAGTCTACAGTGGGTCTAAGATTTCTTTCTGACTCTCAATGATGCGAGTATCATTGTCTGTGACCTCTGGGGCGCCAAATGAAATGCAGCCTGCAGTCCCTCTCCTATGACATGTACATACACACACTTCTGAATTTTTTTTTTTTTAAGATCAGACCCTCAGCTTGTATAAATCAGCTTCACTCTATGGATGTCGTCCACATTTACATGCACTGCAAAATTTCTTATTTCTCATGATTTGGGACGCTGAAATCTCTGCTTTTCTGCAGCGCGGGGAGACGGCCTTACACATGGCAGCACGTGCTGGGCAGGTGGAAGTGGTCCGCTGCCTCTTGAGGAATGGTGCCCTTGTTGATGCTCGAGCCAGGGTAAGTGTTGCATTGTAGCTTCCATACCTCCTGTATTACTTGTAAATACAATAAAACCAATGGGCTTACTAAGGAGAGATGTTTCTTTCTTCCATAGACAGTAAAAGGCCAGATGTTGCATGTTTACCTGTTTTAGGGACTCCACACTAACTACTTTTAATACAGTCCTGTAAACAGAACTTGTTTACTTGCATTACAATGCTCTTCTAAATAGAGTAGCTCTGACTTAGAATTGGAGTGCCCGGTTCTAACTCATTGGCAGATTTCAGAGCCACATGCTGTGCATTTGCCGCCTGCTGTCACCAGGCAATACAGTAGCCTTTTGGCTATGACTGCACTGGATCTGATGATGTACATTTCTGCTCTGGTAGACATACCTGTTCTAGCTCTGATTGAGTTAGCGCACTAAAAATAGAAGTATAACCATGGTGATGTGAATGGAAGGATGGGCTAGCTGCTCCAAGAACAAACCCATCTGAAACCCTAGATATATATTAGGGGTGGTAGTATATGTTGCCCATCTCACTGCAGTGGGTACACTTGGTCCTGCTTGATCAGCATGCGTATATCTGCCCGACCTCCAGCTACCTCCTGTACAGATTCACCCTACCACATTTTAAAGCACCCTGTGGCCTATCTCTACACCAACCACTATTGGATTCTGCAACACCTGTTATTTTCTGTGATTGAGTGGTAGTTTATTTACAGTTTACCTAGAAAAGAGAATACCTGTAATTCCATGTAGCAAATATTTACTTTTGAATGGTAAATGTACATGATCATTGCTTTAGCTAGATCGTGTCATCTGAAGTTTAAAGAAAGAATAGATTGAAAAAACTTCAGGATGTCAACTTCAGGTTGGCACATTGTGCAGAATTTCTGTATTGTCTACTGTTTGTTTAGCTCTGTAACCTCCAACAGTGCTTTCTCTGCTGCCTGTTACAGCGCTTAAGTTCTAAAAGACATTTGAACTCTTGAGTTTAAAAAAAATACTATAATGTAAATGCTGAATAAAACATCAGAGGATTCTGACTAATCTAACAGCTGAACTTCTACCATTATTATATTTGTAGTGCAATTCTCCCACTGTCTTCTGAAATCAATCACGTAGCTCTGATTTGTATACATGTGATGTGGTTTTAAACATTTAATCCTGACAGAGCAGGACAAAATATAGACGGAAGCTGTTAACACATAAAAGACCAAGCTGTCTAAATTCTGGCACTTAAGAGAATGATGAGCCAGATGCTCCTTATGTAATTATTTGCAAGATTTTGTGAACATTTTTTCATTGGTTTTCATGAACGTTCAATAGGGCCCATATTCCTGTGCAAGATGCGTGGAAAGTGAATGTAAACCATTTGTACCCAGGATAAGTGAGTGGAGAATTCTGATTGGGCAAGTGATTTAATCACTCTGTTCTCCAATTATCAGCACTGAACATGTTGGAAAATCTGTCCCTCAGTGTTTAAAAGAGCATCTATTTTTAGACGAGTTGTTCCTACAGAAATTAAAATTCCTCCACAAAAAAACATTGAAACAGCTGCTGTTACCACAGTCAACCCACCAAGTCCCAGGAACATCTTTGTGTCTTATTTCTAGCTGATGTATATTTTTGACAACAGTGAAAAATCAACTGTATTTGTACATGGGGGTTTTGCGATAAATTTGGCCATATGCAATATGCATGGTTTATATCAGGTGAAAATATTAAGTCTAGGATGTGCTTTAAATGATGGGGAAAGAGGATTCCTAGGGTTAAGATTCCTATCTGTCTTTAAACCCTTCATGCAAAAGCAGAAATACCTTTGGATGACAGAGGGCACTCTGGTATTTTGAATCTGCTGGCCTGCGGCCTCTTGGTTGGGGCACAGAGGTCTTTACACAGTGCCCTTCCCACAAGTGACCATTCCATAGCTCCCATTGCCTGGGAACTGTGGCCATTGGGAGCTGCGGGGGCAGGGCCTGCACTGCAGGCCAAGGCAATACATGAAACCAAGTTCTCCCTCAGCACATGGAGTCCTGTTCTCCCTCCCTCCCTCTGCCTAGGAGCCACAAAGATGTGCCAGCTGCTTCTGAGAGTGGTACGGGGCCAGGACAGGCAGGTAGCCTGCCTTAGCCCGGCTGTGCAACTGACTGAAATTTGGAGCTGCCCAACGTAAGCTTCCCACACACAAACTCCCACCGCCACTTCTGAGCTTCCTCCCACAGACCACACTCTCACCTGCACTGCAAACCCCTGCCCAAGCCCTGAGCGACTCCCATATCCAAACTCTATTCCAGAGGCCATTGCCCCTTTTGCACCTTTCTTTCTTGCCACAAGCATAGGCTGGAGCCCCCTACACACACACACACACTCACTCGCACTCTCTCAACCACTCAGGCCCAGCTTAGAGCCCACATCCCTTCCTACACAACAACTCCCCTCCCCCATTCCAGTTAAAATGGGTAAGGATGGAGTTAGTGATGATGGGAGAGGGGGAAGGAGTGAGAAAGGGCTGGGCAGAGGATGGGGCAAAAATGTTTGGTTTGTGTGATTAGGCAATTGGTAACCATAATCATTAGTGTATGTTTAACCCAGGTTTATGCAAAATCTATAATTTGGAAATCAAATTGAAACTATATAAAATAAAAGTAAACTACATAATTTCAGAGAGCCAAACTCATACAAATGTGAAAATTTTACTTTTTGACGGTGCAGTTTTAAGCATTTTTTTTCATGCCCGCAAAAGGCAAATTTTGCATCAAGAATGGATGTTTTCACTGCATATTTGGTGAAAAAACTGGACCTCATAAAAATGAAGTATCAGGAAACTGAGGTAAAAACAGCAAATGTTTCTGGGAAGTTTCATTACAAACTGTTCTGACAGCATAATCCTCAGATTTGGCACAGTTCCTCTGAAGAATTTGGCTACTATAGGGAAGGCTTCAGTTCCCAGATTGAGAACTTTTTATATTTCCTGTGCACACATGCTGAGTCCAGATCTATATGTGGACAGCATGTGAGTGTACCACTGAAGGGCCTCTGTGCTTATTAAGTATCAAAGGACTTCATTTTGACAATAAATGATTGAAGAGTTGCATGTAGTAAGTTTGCATTTAAATATACACCTGCAAAGCAGCAAGAAAAGCAGGAATATCGAGTGTCTAGAAATTGCCTCCATAAGGCAATATTCAGAAACTACTGATGGAGTAAAGTGCTATGGAAGATGAGTAAGGGTTTCATAAAGTAGTAATGCAAAGAAAGATAAGTAGGACTATGATGTAAGTTGTCTACATTCATATTTAAGGAAGAAAAGAGAAACAATGTTTCTTCCTACATTTCCCCTCCTTTGATCTAATAGCACATTGTATAATCTTTATATTGATACTGAATATTCCACTGTATCCCTCATTCTTTTGTATGTGATGAATGTCTATAGTCTTTCACTGGAATCCATAGGATGTGGTATTCAGGTTGCTTCTCCCTGCATTAACTCGTCACCTGATTTGAGTTGTAGGAGGAACAGACTCCACTGCACATTGCTTCTCGTTTGGGTAAAACTGAGATCGTCCAGTTGCTGCTACAACACATGGCTCACCCTGATGCCGCAACTACTAATGGATACACCCCATTGCACATCTCTGCCAGAGAGGGGCAGGTTGATGTAGCATCAGTTCTCTTGGAGGCAGGTGCTGCACACTCATTGGCCACTAAGGTAAGATGAGATGCATTGTGCTAGTTTCCCAAAAGAAAAAGATAAGACTTTGATGCCGTTACCCTGCAGGGAGGCAGCTGTATAGCGAGGGAAGCATTTTCACTGAGAAACTGACCTAGTTTCGTTATAAACAGTAGTCAAACAGATGAAACCGTTTACATGGCATTCCTCAGATTTTGACACATTTGTCTTCCTCTGAAGCATCAAGTTTTGGTTTAAGCTAAACAAAAAATACTAGACTCAATCAAATTACATTAATAAGTTTAAAAAGTACGAGGCTCCTATGACAAAAGAACCTATCTTGTTTACAAGGTGTCTTCTGAATATTCAAATAAACACCTAAAATCATCATCCCTAATATTCTTTAAACAAACAAACCTCCTAAAAGCCCTTGTTTATTTTAATTATTTAAATTAATGAAAGAAGTCTGGTATCTAATAGCTGATATGAAATTCTCAAAGCATTTATTACATACGAATCAGAGTATTCTAAAACCAGATTAACATTAAGCATTTTAATAAATTAGTAAGGTAAGATATCATGGCATAATTGATTATTTCTAAGATTGTCCTAAATATGTTCTACATTTCTAGTTTTGTCTTGTTTGCCAGCCTATTAAGTATTAATGGGTAGATTCCTAAAAGGAAAATGCATATGGAGGATGGAATGATGAATCAAGAGGTCTTTTCTAAACCCATCATCTGTGATTATGTGATTGCAAATATGGTATCAGGTGGAAAGAAGAGCTCCTTATTTTATAGTTGGAACTTAAATCTTATGTAGGCCAGAGTTTAGAAAATTCTAAGCCAGTGGTTCTCAAATTATAAGACATGGGTTACTGATGGTTCTGGCTGTTTCCAGATGCTAACTCACATTAAAACACAGGTAAAACTACACTAAACACTTTCCTAATTTTCCATATAAGCAATTGCTGTTATTGCTGCAGGGATGTTTTGTAATTGTGGCTAAGAGATGAGGCAGTTCGTAAGGTCATGTAATTCATGCTATGGAAAAGTTTGGGAACCCCCGTTCCATACTCTTTGCAAGTAGGGTAACATAAACATCACATATTGTCAAAATGTCAGGCAAATATTTTATGGTGGCTCCTGATGATGTTTCCAGGACAATTGCAGACTGTCTGCCACATGCTGTGCTTTTCTTCTTATCCTGATATTGTACAAATTGTATAGATATTGATTTCAGTAGTGCTGCAGAAGCTTACTCCAGATGTATTGGCTATTTAGGTACAGGTTGAAACTCTGTAGTCTGACATGCTTTGGTCCGGCAACATCCGGGGTCCAGCATGATTTTTGTTAGCTGTATGTCTGATTGTTATTACTGACAGCCCAGTAAGCAATGGAAATGTTGGTAACGCTGCTAGGTAATATTGACCTTTTGTGATTTGGCAAATTCTCTGGTTCAACACTGGTAAGGTCCCGAGAGTGTCAGACTAAAGAGGTTCAACCTGTACGTGTTTCTTAATATAGTGTCATTCTTCTGGGAGTGGGTAACACCAAATTGATAACACCAAATTCAGAATCAGAATAAGAATTTAGTTTCTCGCAGATTGTTTGACCATATATTACTTGCAGGGATAAATCAATATAGTAGATAAAAAATTAAAACTCTATCACTGTAAAACTAAACAAAACATTGAGGCAGTGAAAAGCTACGTTTTGATTAAAATTTGAATTGGAGTCTCTGTTACCTAGGCAATGGATATTACTGGGTAAGATCTGTATGTGGTAATATGTCATACTGACTGCCTCCAGAGACCTAGGGAAGACTGATAGAGAGAGTTATTTTTTGTATGACGCATGCATATAAAAATTGGCACTTCAGAGTGATTAGTGCCATTGCTAATTGTTAAGTCTTTAGTTATTAATGAATAAAAATGGCAGGTGACTTTAATTTGAATCTCAATCTTCTAAAACATAGGTGGGAACCTTTTTTTGGTCAGGGCTGCAGAAAAACAGGGGTGGGGAATGTACACAAGTGAGAAGCAAAAAACAAAACCAACAAAAAAACCGTTTCTGAATGAGAAGGAGAAAGACACTCCCCATATTCCCTTCACACACCATAGCTTAGGGAGGCCCAGGCTAGTAGATTTTGTGTGCTCTAGCCCTGTGTGGGAAGGGCGGGGGAGCTGGAGCACCAGCATGGATTCCCCAATGCTGGGGGGAACCTTGAGACCCAGGGGTCAGATCCAGACAAGCCAAGGGCCGCATCTGCCCCCCGGGCCTGAGGTTCCCCACGCCATTCTAAAATATTCAAAGGTTGGTAGAAGAAAATGATCCTAAGTGAAAGATCCTAGAAACTTATGACAACAATTTTGTCTCTTGAAAAATTTTCAGAAGGGATTCACCCCACTGCATGTGGCAGCCAAGTATGGAAGCTTGGATGTGGCAAAACTTCTATTGCAGCGTCGTGCTTCTCCTGATTCAGCTGGCAAGGTGCAGTCCTCCATTACAGGGATTTACTTGGGGGGGTGGAAAGGCAAAAAAAAAAAAATTAGGCTCAGTAATAGAGTGAAAAAATAATGTAAAAGAAGGAAGAAGTTGCCTTCCAATTTAACTATATGAAAAATAACAAGTCTCTTTGGAATGATTTTTACATATACACGTGTATGAAGTTACCCCACAGTGTGTTTAATGTTTGACTTTTATTACAGCAGGACACTTTGGTGCACAATGATAAAGACCGATATGTTGTTGTGTATCAAGAAGTGTCCAGTTTATTAAATTATTCAGGTCATAAAAATCACAATTCAAAAGTAGCAGGGCAAGACCAGAGCCATTACTTTTGTTCCCGTGTTGCGAAGGTTGCTCATAATGATGTTTCTCAGACATGGAGATTTCAGAACTTGATTTGTGATGAATAATAAATACTGGCCAAACCAAATTCATCCTCAGTTGCTTGCCCTGTTTTAAGCAAAGTACCTCTTACTAACTGTTGGCTTACTATTATTTTCAGTCTCAGTAAAGTTTCTAAAACAAAAATAATTCAGACTGAGTTAAATGTCATTTTGTTCATGTATTTATTGGCTAAACAATTAATATATTTGTTTAATATCTATTGATTTGCAATTTAATAGTTCCTTATGCCCAACTAACAACTTAATTCGGTAACACACACTTTACAGAATGGCCTCACCCCACTCCATGTTGCTGCTCACTATGACAACCAGAAGGTGGCGCTACTGTTGCTGGAGAAAGGTGCCTCTCCTCATGCTACTGCCAAGGTGAGATTTCTCAGCCACTGGCAACAGTCTACTCTTAGAACCAGAGGAATAATGTTAAAAAAGCAGCAACAAAGGAAACAATGAAGAAGCTGAGCCAGCTGAAGGCTGGAGCCACTGTTGCAAACTCCTGACATTTCAGAAGGTGGAGATAGAGGCCTCTAATGGTAGGAGGCTACAACTGTAGCTGACTCCTGCATGTTCTTGAGCCTCTCCGAGAAACAGATGATGGGTGACCAGCAAGGGAAAGGGAGAAAGAATGCTTGGGAGTTGATGCCTCATACTTTTTCTTCTCCCGCCTCTGCAGCCTCTTCCCTTTGTAGCCCACTTCTGTTTGGAAGGAAAGGAATCTCCTCCTCTACAGATAAAAGCTGGAGGGGGTGATGCCTCTCCTTTTGCTTATAATTGTCCCCATCGTTAGAATTCTCTTAGAGATGATATTTTAGAACCTCATGGTAGTTTTGTAGCCATAGTTTTCAGGATTTTTGAAACTATGCAAGACTCTGATTAGTACATCTAAGACTAAGCCCAAGCCTGTGAATCATATCTTCTGTGCTCAGGGCTTTTGTCATCTTCATTCTCTGTCTCTTCTCTTTGCTGAGTACTTTTTCAGTGTTCCCTGTAAGGTGTGCGCTTGTGTGGCTGATCAGGAGAGATTCAAACACCACTTAGTTAATTAGCAGAGCACCCATAGCTACGTTTTTGTTTATACTGGTGGTGCACATTTGTACATGCATCTGTGCACATAGAAAAAAAATTATTCTTCACGTGGATGGATGGAAAAATCTGCACATGAATGGAAAATATTAGAGGGAACATTACTGTAATGGTTATTTCCTTAAGTCACTGTAGAGCATTTTAGAGGCGTACTTGGACCTAGTTATAGACAAATCTTGTTACTGACATGTAAGGACTGCTGATTATCCAGTGTATTGAGAAATATGAAGAAATGCAGTCCAGGAGGACACCAGATAATGGCATCTTTGTGTGATTGAGCTCCTGAATAGACTTTATGGATCACACACTTGTCTGTTGTCCCTGAAAGAGAACCTATTCTGGTCTTGCTCCTACTCTCAACTCAGATTGTACTTTAGTATGTGGCCCTGCCTTTCACTGATGTACAGGAGATGCTGCTTCTCTTGGGGTGGATGTTCGTTCAGCAGATGCATCATTGCAGAAAGGAAATTTACCCATCTTCCTCCCCCAAAAGAGGAACTACAACTTAACAAGGTTTTGTTTGTTCTTAACCCCTAATTATGTCCTTGGAAATGAAATACAGGGATTAAGCAGAACAAAACTATCCTCTTCTTGCCAAACTGGGCCTATAAACTAGAGTTAATTGCTCATGAAATAATTTCTCCCTCTAACTATATTTCCAGCCAGTTGCACAATTGACTCAGGCCAGGTCTGGTGGAGAAAATCCATACAAGATATGTGAATTGGGTATCTAAAGTCAACATACCTTGCACCAATTTTCTGAGGTGAGCCCACAGCAGGCAGTCCTCAGGAGAAATACACCTGTCAACTTCCCTTACTCCTCGCAAGGAGGACTGTCACCAACAGGGGTGCCCTCAGCATTCAATTTAGCAGGTCTTTACTAGAGCCACTAAATCAAACCCCAGAGGATCGATTGCCAGAGCATTGATCCTCTGGCAATTGGAGACGTGGCCTACACCAGTGGTTCCAAACCTTTTTTAAGTTGTGTACTGGCAAACCCATTCACAAACTTGGCCTGGGGCCTGGCAGTTCTGTCGCCCTCCCATTTTATAACTGTACTCCCCTCTTTGAAGTATCTGCTATTAGCCACTATTGGAGACAGGATACCAATCTAAATGGACAATTGGTCTCATCTGATACAGGAATTCCTATGTAAAATAATTCTTAAGATACAGAAATGTCTCAATAGTTGGTTTTTATTGGTTTTCCTTTTCAACGTTCTTTCAAATTTCTCTCAGCCACTATCTGAAAAGTGGACATTTTCTATTCCTCCATAATTATTTCCACAGGAAATTGACTGTAGGATTGTCAAGAATGGGGAAAATAATGACTCATTATCTAGAGCTAGATTGTTGCAGATATTTCCATGAAATTAAATGGAGCACTATTTGTTGTGTGATGGATTTGTAAACATCAGAAAAGGCTGTTAACATGTGGAGCCTGGTTTTAGAATGGATATACCCCTCTGCACATTGCTGCCAAGAAGAATCAGATGCAGATAGCTACTACACTGCTTAGCTATGGAGCCGAGACCAACATTCTGACTAAACAAGGAGTGACCCCACTGCACCTGGCCTCTCAAGAAGGTCACTCTGACATGGTTACCTTGCTCCTGGACAAAGGATCCAATATCCATGTGGGAACTAAGGTAATGCCCTCTCTCCTCTGAGGATAAGCTATTGTGGGAGGGGGTCTGGTGACTTGCAAAGTACAGTGAAAAAATACAGCCAGGTTGCTCAGAAATAGACTCCAAACTAGATACCCCCATACACATGCAAAAGCTCAAGATCTGAGACATTAAAAAAAAGCTAATGGTAGATGGGTAAACAGCATAGTTGAAAGTATCTGGAGCTGTGAGTGACCCTGAGCAGAGGCTGTCTTTAAAGCTTATCCTTAACAGCCATGCTGGGAAACATGGGCAGGACCTTCAGCTGGGAGTCATGGCCGTTGGAAAATGATCTAAAAAAAGATATACTTGCATTGGAAAAGGTTCAGAAAAGGGCAACAAAAATGATTAGGGGTTTGGAACGGGTGCCATAGGAAGAGAGATTAAAAAGACTTTGACTTTTCAGCTTAGAAAGGAGGAGACTAAGGGGGGATATGATAGAGGGCTATACAATCATGACTGGTGTGGAAAAAGTGAATAAGGACAAGTTAGTTACTTATTCCCACAATATAAGAACTACGGGTCACCAAAGGAAATTAATAGGCAGCAGGTTTAAAACAAACATAAGTTTTTCTTCACTTAGCGCACAGTATACCTCTGGAACTCCTTGCCAGAGGATGTGATGAAGGCTAGGACTTTAACAGGGTTCAACAAAGAGCTAGATGGATTCATGGAGGCTAGATCCCTCAATGGCTATTAGCCAGGATGGATAAGAATGGTGTCCCTAGCCTCTGTTTGTCTGAAAATGGGTGACAGGAGAGGGATCACATGAGGATTACCTGCTGTGTTCCCTCCCTTTGGGACATCTGGTATTGGCCACTGTCAGCAGACAAGATACTAGGCTGGATGGTCCTTTGGTCTGACCCAGTATGGCCATTTTTATGTTCTTATGATGTGCCAGCAAGCTCTGGCAGAAAAGTGAGCTTGGAGAAGCAGGTAAGCCAGGGGAAGTTGTTGTACTCTCTGAGCGGTAGCCAACATAATACAGAAGTTGTACATCCTGCCTAAAGGATTAAGGGCTATAGAAGTTAGGTTGCCTAAAGCTCTAGTCCTGTGGGTAATTGGGTTGATTGTGTGGTACATGTCAGAGAACAACAGCTTGAGGTCTGAAGTAGTGGAGTGTGCTTGTAGCACTTATCCCAATACATTGTGCCATCCAGTCTCCTTGCTGCGATGGAAGAAACTAGTAATGTTTGGCAAAGAGTAATACAGCTTTACTAGTTGAGAAAATAATAAAATAATCCTAATGAAAACCATTCTGATCAGGTTTTCTATTAGATGTGTGCCAAATCCTTCCTAGAAGTACCTGGATCCTCCCCCAAAAAACATTACGTAAGACTTTCTGTAATGCACTTTTATCCATCCAAATGATGCTGAACAAACTTTACTCTCACAGGAATTGGTTCTCAACTAGTAAAGCTGCATTATTCTTTTGCTCACCAGAGTGAAAGCTGTGGGATGAAGATCTTAATGTATGAGAATAGTTGTAATACCCCCATTCTAGGGCAAAGAAACAAACGGCTTTTCCATTCTTATATTCAATGTATATATTTATGTAAGTTCTCACCCATTTCCTGTCCAGAGGCTGTCACAGTATGCATGAATGTATGCTGTTTTTAAAAAGTTGCTTCCATTCTCTTTTTGGGTCTGAATTCATTTCTGCTGCTTCCTTTGTTCTAACTCCCACCCATAATTGTTAAGGTCCATTCTTCCTCTCAAAGGAAGGCTACAAATAGTGGCCTAGAATTGTAGAAAGGTCATCCTACTTTATTAGTGGGCACTTAGATTTCTCCAGTGACATTATTGTGTAAATTCTAGATGTGGTAATCACTAGCTGAAAGCATCAATCTATAGTTAGGGTGATTATTTGCAGTATTGAATTGTTAGTCAGTTTTACATGGATAGCAACCAACTACCATTTTTGCTTAAAAGATGTTTTTTTAAATTACAGTCAGGATCTTGCCATAATTTTAAAATGCTAAAACTTGCAAGGCCCTTTTCTTTCCTTTTGGTAGCATTATGGTTCTCTTTCCATTTGGTTTGTAGAGTGGATTGACATCCCTGCACCTTGCAGCTCAGGAGGATAAAGTGAATGTAGCTGATATACTGACAAAGCACGGTGCAAACCAAGATGCCCAGACAAAGGTAAACTACATAATGGCTACTGCTTCCCAGGCATGTTATTGTGATGATAGAATGTTCCATTGACTGCATGGGTTTACTTTTTATGCTATTTTATTGTAGCTGGGCTACACTCCTTTAATTGTGGCTTGTCATTATGGAAACATCAAGATGGTGAATTTCCTCCTGAAGCAGGGAGCCAATGTCAATGCTAAAACAAAGGTAAAGAATTTTTCATCACTTTGGGGGGTTTTTCTTCAGTGACCGTATGATACTAATTCATGCTGCATAAAGTCAACTGTAGGTTTTCCTAGTAGGCCTTTTACAGATTACTCATGCACACTTGGTGTTAATATCTGCTGATCTGTGGCTGTGAAGGAATGAGTTCCCTTTGCTCTGCTTCAAGGTGCATTCCTCACTAAACTGAAGTCAGGTCCATTGACTCCGTGTGCTTGTGAGAGGTGGGATCTGTTTTGAGTTTTTCCTTTATTTTATTTGTACTTGTAACACATAGGAGCCTGATTCTTTTTATGCTCACATTAGTGTAATTCCATTAGCTTTAGCAGTTACTTCTCAATTACACCAAAATAAGCCCCTCCATATGGTGTGCTATATGGAGACAACTCTGCCTCTCTCAACCAATGGTTTCTGCATCTGCTTAATGTATGTTTACACTGAGGGATGTGTGATCACAGAGCCATTTTGTATCGCAGATGTCTTTATATCACCTGCACCAGGAGGAGGAGAAGGCCAGACCACATGGTCTAATGCTCCCTGGCTCCAATTCAAACCGGCTTCTTGTTGCTAGGCTGTAGTCATAGCATTATAATTCGCCTCCCAGGCTCACACAGCTTCCTTGGTGTTTTGGTATCAGTGCAAACAGCTAAGCTCCATTTATGGCTCCAAAAATGCATCTGTTATCCTTGACAACTGGTCAGAAGCACAGAAGCTTGCAAGTCACTGATCATTCTTGCTGATTCCTCTGTCTCCGACTGCTTAATTACATGGCCGATCCACTCCTCGAAGTGGGATGGCCTTATGAAAATAAGTCCAACTAGAAGATGTGAATGGCAATGTCCAAAAAGACCCAGAATCCAGGGGAATGTCAGGACATTTGCAATGCAGTCACAGCCCAGACTCAGTAAGTTAAAACCATAGATTGTTTGAAGAGTTGGTAAATATGACAGAAAGCTGGAAAAAAAACCCACCCCATAATAAAAGCAGATAGCTGGGAACCAAAATGGCAACTGGGAACTCCTGCAGCTGATCTCTTTGGAAGTAATTGAAAGAAATGAACTTTCTCACCCATTACCAAGACAGTTTCCCCAATTATCACCTGTAATACCATTAACTCACAAACATCCCCCTCTCCCTACCTTTAATATCAGCAATTCACAGACACTTACCTTCCTTCCTCCCCCTTCCCACCCCCCCGCATCCCCCTTCTGTTCTGCAATGTGATTTGTCCTTTTCATATTTGTTCATTTTTTTAAATTGTATCCTTTGGTATATATGGTTGTGACTACTTTCTTCCACTATTTGATCTGAGGAAGTGGGTCTGGCCCACGAAAGCTCATCATCTAATAAACCATCTTGTTAGTCTTTAAAGTGCTACATTGTCCTGCATTTTGCTTCAACTACCCCAGACTAACACGGCTACATTTCTATCACTAATTTCCCCGTATGTTTGTCTAAATGTGTGTTAAGCTTATTGGATCAGATTCTGATTTTAGTTTCTCTGGTTAGTCTGATTATCTGGAACAATTCCATTAAAGTTGGTAGAGTAATATCAGAGTATCTGGTCCTGTTGGTGCTTCCAAAGCATCATAAATCTTGGCAGACTAGCAGATAACCAGCATTGTGGATTCACTCCATTTAAAGAGCAAGTCCCTCCTGGCTAGATTTGTAGCAGACATTAAAATCTGAACGACACTGGGTTCTTGCTGTGAAGCAAGCCTTTAGGATATTGTGTGCCACGTCCAGCAGAAGAGTGATGTGTCTGGACTCAATTCCAAGAGACTGCACTGATATTAAAGTAATGGAAATAATATGATTGCCAGTATAAAACATCACAACCTGTTCTGAACCCCTGCTTAGTATCCTACCTGGTAGATGGATGTGTAGCCCAAATGTTACAAGGACAACTAGAGTACCAAGCAAGTTGGCACCCATCTGTCCATATGAAAGATACATGTCAGTCATAGTCATAGTTTAAGGCACACACACACAAGTCCAAGAGATCAGTCTGAGTGCCTTACGCTCTCTTAGATATGCGTAAATGGTAAGTGAAATCAAATTGCTATTTTCCCTGTTTTGTTGTCTGCCTGCTTTCAAACTCAAGAGCAGATAATTTTGTAAATTAACTGCCTGACTGGGTTCATACAATTCCCTCTCAGATCAGCTGGCTGAAGTGCAGTCTGGCCATGTTTTTGTAATGTATAAAATCATGAATGGATCATTGGACTAGATAAATATACAGAATAAAAATATGTACAATAATATGCAACATATACAAACGTTTTGACTATATTATGGCGCAGAGTTGGGATCTTTTTTTGTAGAATATAAACAGCAGTGACATTCATAGTGAGACTTATAGTCACACAACTAGTTCATTTAAAGTGGATTCAATTAAACCTGTTAGAGTTTACATGGCTTTGAATATTAGCTTAAGCATTTGTAAAGGTAGAATCTTTGAGTACCCATTAAAAGCAATGGTCTGGGAGACCTGGTTCTGCCCTTCCCACCCAATTTGCTCTGTCGCCTGGGGCATGGCTGTTAAGTTCTCTGTGCTTTGTTATTCCATCTATGAAATGGGAACAGTAAAGCTTGCTCACCTTTATAAAGACCATTAATTCTGTCACACGAAAAATGCTCTGCAAGTCAAAATATTATTATTATTTATTATTTCATTAGTCCCTAGGTGGGTTCAGAGACTGTTGCTGAGAATTATTGTGTGTGTGAGTGAATTGCTGGCATAGATGTTGTTTTAAATAATATCTTGATTAGAGGAAGTACATTGACATCTATTTTCTAATCACTGTATTTTTCCATCCTACAAATATGGCAATTACCACCAATGACAGAATGGCTACACCCCTCTTCACCAAGCTGCTCAACAGGGTCATACTCATATCATCAATGTGCTACTCCAGCATGGGGCCAAGCCCAATGCCATCACTGCTGTAAGTCTGGAAATTGCCTGGGGTACTACTGCAATCTGCCACCTGCCTGCAGCTTGTTCTCCTCATGGTTCCTCCCTTTCCTGAGTCTGATTGACTCATTTGATCCCTCTCCTCTGTAGCCTTTGCTTTGCTGAATGTTCTGCTCATACAGCTGGTTATCAGATGTGTGAGTGTAACTTCCTGCCTCCCTTTCAAGCCCCTTAAGGTAGCTCTGCTCGGTTGCAAAGTGCTCTCCAGACAGAGAGTTCGTTTGGATAGTGAGCTGAGCATGGGATTTGGAAAAAGTAATTCCTGCGTTATATTTCCAGGCTGGCCACTGACTGTTTGTGTCACAGACACTCCTCATTTCCGTTTCTCCAGGTGTAAAATGAGGGTGGCACTAAAGATGGTATTCTTCTTATCCTCCCAATGCCTGGTCTAGAGGAGGGTCTGCACAAAAGCAAACTGTCTGCAGCCCTTCTGTATAAGATGAAAGGAATGTTTACTGCTTGGGATAAAACCCGTAATTGACACAATTTACTCTATCCATTTGTTTGCCACCTCCTGGATGTAGGTCAGTGCTATTCCTGGATTCTCAGATAGCAACCATAGCTTATAGCATAGCTTCTATCCTCTGCAGACTGCTAGGAATCCGCAACTGTTTTTCTTTAACACCATTTTCCACAATAGCCAACTATATCTCTGTCAACTCTGTAGGCCCAGATGGTACAACTAGTTAAAAAAAAAATTAAAAAAGCCTTTGCCTGGCTCTTGACTGGGGCAGATTGCCATGGGTGCATAATACACTTGCTTAAACCTGCACTGGCTTCTCTCTTGCTCCCTGGAACAATGCTCTGGGATTGAGTTATCTAAAAATCCCTGTTCTGGTTTATAGCCTAGATCAGAGGCAGGGAACCTTTTTGGGGTGATGGGCCACTGACCCCAGAAAAATCAGTTGGGAGGCAGGATCCTGGCAAGCCAGGGGCTTTATCTGGCCCCTGGGCCTTAGGTTTCCCACCTCTGTCCTAGATCATCAACTGGGGGGCATTTATGGTCAATTCTTGGGCTAAACACCTCATCAGAGCTTACTTAATTTGAAGGTATGTTCATTTGATTTCAGTATGCTTGTAGGACTGTCACAGCCTCAGTCCTTAAGGCCTCAAAGCACAATCACTGCTGAAATAGCCTGGGCTCTTACTCCATTGTTACAGTCCACACAAAAACCTCTCAGCCAAGTTAAGTGGTGTTTTCAAGGTGGGGGGGCTAGCTGGCACAGCTGTGACGGGCCTCTGGGTTAGAGACCCAGTTCAGCTTTCATTTGGGACTTGTTTTCATTGTAGTGTTAGCTAGAGGTATATGTAATTCGAGAGTTACCCCAGGCTGAGTCCTGTCTACACACACACATTTCTCACTTCGGGTAAGTTGTACTTTAAACGTGAGCTAGCTGGACCATGAGAGGATGTAGGCTGATGCTCCACTATTTCCGATACTTGAGTAAATAATGCAATGAAGTTAGTCTGTGCTGCTAATTGAAACAATGTCATTTTACAGTCAAGAGAGCCTAACTCAAGAGGCATTAACTCGACTGTGGATAACTAAGCTAACCCTGCCGTGAAGCCCATGCTTTGGGCTGGCCTGCCGTCCACTTTGTAGTTGGCTAAAATACATGGGTGCTTGTAGTTCTTTCCACAATTCTCATCATGTGCCCCGTAGGACAGACAAGTTCTCCCATTATTCCCTGGGAAAGATTAAAAGAACTGTTCACTTACTGCTGTATGAAGAACCATGGGATATGCCCTCGGAGGTCCTAGTGATACACACAAGTGACAATAGCAGCAATGAGCAGGGCTCAACAAATTATCTACTCGCCATGGGCGAGTAGATTTCAACCGCGCGCCCTGTTTACCGGCAGCACACACATGTGCAATGCGGCTCTTGCGTATGCGCAGTACAGGGCTGGCGAGCGGCTTTCGCCACCGTTAGTCAAGCCCTGGCAATGAGGACATAGTAACTTGGACAGGGCTTTTAAGAGTGATGGCTCATACCCAGGGGCTGGTCCCCCAAGGTTACTCTGCCATGAAGACATACCCTCAGGCATTCTTAGCTGATGTAACTTCTGTTGGATATTTTTTTCTGCTCCTCCTGACAAAAAGGCACTGACTTTTGGCTATTCATTGTGGATGGATTTACACTGTGCTGCCAGGCACTTTTAGAATAAATAAATACAGACCCGGCATTTGATACTCTCTCATTCACATAGAGTTGCTCCATTAACTTCAGTGGCACAGCTCCTGATGTAAGATATTGTTCGGTGTGAGCGACACTATAGCAGTTTAGCCCTATATAAATAAATAATGCCTATCCCTGAGGGTTAATTAGCTGATCAATTCTTCATCTGAAAATTAAAAGAACTATTTAAATGCTCATTGATGCATGGCTTAAATAGTCATTTAAATGTGAAAGAATCCCCACCATGTCCTGAACTTAAAACTTGTTTTGTTGCTGGGTAGTATGAGGTTTTGTCTAAGTTATGTATTCCCAGAGGGAGCATTGTACCTGCTGCAGATGTGAACTGTTTCTGTCACAAACTTCTGCTTAAAACTTTTTAATAGTTTTAAAGAATAATCTCCCAAATAATAGAGCATTTGTAAAACAATACAGTCAAGGCACATAATGTGTAGTGAAATTTGACAACTTTAGGGTTAAACCTACTACATGGTTTTTATGAGGAACTGCAGGCAGATGTAAGTGTGTTGTGTTACCATGGCAATCAGGGCTATAGTCTTAGAGAAGTTACAAAGACAGATTCAGATGTAATGGTAAAACTTGGTGATTTTCCTAAGCTGTGCCTTGTTTTGGATGGAAATGCTGGCTCATGTAGTGCTGGGAGTGAGCTCATTGGTTCAAATCACAATCCTCCCTCTCATTTCTCTCTCTCTCTGTCTCTTTCTCTCTCTCTCTAGAATGGTAACACTGCCTTAGCGATTGCAAGACGTTTGGGCTACATCTCAGTGGTCGATACGCTGAAGGTTGTAACAGAGGAGGTCACCACCACCACAACTGTGAGTACTAGATCTGTGTTAATGCTTCTATTCATAATGCTGTCTCTGCGGTATTGCTTCAGACTCCCTATGCCTCTGTCGTCATTTTAGTTTAAGTTTTTAAGGTCCTCCTTTGCTTGGTCATCGCAAATGTATTGATGTGCAACTAGATGTGCAATACAGTTCGCAGAATTAATATAACTCTATAAATCTGAGTTCACACCAATATAATAACAGGTACTCATAAGTTTTTTAGAGATGGGCCCTAGCAACAAATCCAAACTTCCCTGAAGTTTGGAAGTGCTTATGTAAGTTCTAGGCAATTTCTCGATGTTCCTTTTTCATTATCCTGGTTTCTTCTTTTCAGCTTCTATGCTTGTATGCTTTCCTCTGTGACACCTGCTGTTACAGAGCTGCCAAAGCAGGCATAAGCCTTGAGACCATGCCCGTCCATGAACGGGTGCCAGACTTTGTGGTGCTCACTAAGCGGCTCTGAATCACATAAATCCTCATTTTGCTCAAATTACTTCCAGAACAAATGGGTCCAGTTTTATCATAATGTACCTCCCCGCTTTTCTCTCTCTCCTTCCCCCCCCCTGCGGACTTCCTCAGCCTGGAGTCAGGATTTTGATGCTCGGAGCTCATGAATAGTATATGCCGCACATCCTGAGTTGAGCCAAGTCGATGCCTGTGGAGTAGTTTTAGTTTTCACTCCTTTAAAAAAAAATCAGTTTTAGGGAGGGCAGAGGTAACTAGCCACTTGGTTATGTGGTCAGAGTAGATACAAACTGTTGCTTTTAACCAGGAAGATGAGTTATATTCTGATGCTATGACATGTGTGGGGGGGTGTCACTCTCACTGGTGACATTACTAGAACTGTGACAGACTGTAGTAAGTCAGAAAGGAGGCTTTCAAAAAGCTGTGTATCACTGAACACAATTATACTACACCATTTTTATATGAATTTGCCTTATTGTCTTTTACTGTGAAACCTTATAAGTAGAATGCTTATTTTTAAAGCATGAAAGATTATAAAAAATAGAAAGGCTAAAAGCATTAGGTACCTCATAGAGGCCCCATAATGACAAATCCAAAGATTAGTGAAAAGATGCTACCATATGTTATAAACCAAGAACATGCACAACAGTGTATGTGTGGAGGGCAGGGGGGGGG